CAGCAATGTATTATCCGTAGCATGCGAAAGGCATTCCAAACGTCGTCGTTTGTGATATTATGACGCCGGGCGATGCAATGGGTCGGCCGCTGCTTCCGCGGCCGCAAGCTTTTCTACGCATTTGGCGCTGTCGCTTCCGTCAGCCTCTCCATGATTGGCTTCCTGATCAGCAGTGAGACGCAAGCGTCGACATCATCGGTAATCTGCAAGCCACATCGCGCAGGGCATTGAATTTCCGGGAAGGACGAGGGACCTGGGAAAAGCATTGCCAGCAACCTTGCGCTCGTGGAAGATCAATGCCCTGGGTGCTATGGCTTTCGGGTGATACGTCTCGTGCGAACCCGCCAGGTGGTTCTGGTCTCGGCCCACTCAGGCTCGAAGTTCTGGGGGCTCCGGGGCCTGCTCTCGCGGAACAAGGAGCAGTTCTGCCACGCACAGGGCTTGACGTGCATGCTGGACGCCGCCCTGACAGTCGAGGCCACTCGGCACCACAAGCAGCTCAAGTACGAGAGGCTGCTGCACGCTTTCCGCGTCCACAGCGGCGCCGCGGGCGCGATATGGGTCGACGGCGACACCTGGCTCCAACCTGCTGGCGGAGGAGACCTGGAGCGGTTCATGCGACTTACAAAGCATCATGATTTTGTCATCGGGCGGGACCACCAGGACGGGGAGAACCCCGCGGGCATTTGGAGCGACCTGGCTTTTGGCTACCCGCCTGACGAGTCTGGCGTGTGCTCGTCTGGCGTGAACTCGGGTGTCTTTTGGGTGCGCCGATCAGCATTCATGATCGAGTGGATGGCGAGGCTGGTCGGAGCAATGAACCAGTCGGACCAGTGCCTCATCAACTATCTGATCGCGCTGCCGCGCACTGCTGCCACGCCGCTCGAAAACGTGAGATGGTGACGTCGTGCATGTGCTGGCCGGGAGGAGATCGAAAGTCTGCTGCTGGCAGCGCCTGGCGGTCGCAGGCGCGTCTGCAGAGCCAGCGGGCTGCGCCCGACACCTCGGGCACGAACGAGAGGAGGAGGAGGAGGAGGAGGAGGAGGAGGAGGAGGAGGAGGAAGAGGAGGAGGAGGAGGAAGAGGAGAAGGAGGACGAGGCGGAGGAGGAGGCGGACGAGGCGGAGGAGGAGGAGGAGGAGGAGGAGGAGGAAGAGGAGGAGGAGGAGGCGGAGGAGGAGGAGGAGGAGGAGGAGCGGAGGAGGCGGAGGAGGCGGAGAAGGCGGAGGAGAAGCGGAGGAGGCGGAGGAGGACGATGGAGGCCGCGGAGGCCAAGGGCGGAGCGGGGCCGCGGCCGCTGGGAGAGCCGACGGGGTGGGAGCGCGCGGGGCGGCCTCGGGCAAGGGGTCAAGTCGGGCCTGTTCCCCTACAGGGGGATTTTCGACGAAAAATACAAAATGCCCCCAACAGACCCCAAAAAGGTCCAAACATACACCAAAAATAATCCCCTGATTATTTTTGGACTATTTTTGGATTATTTCGGGGGTATTTTGATTTTCCGTCGACAATCCCCCTGCAGGGGGGATTTTCGACGAAAAATGCAAAATGCCCCCAATAGACCCCAAAAAGGTCAAAAAATATGCAAAACATGATCCCCAGATTATGTTTTGACTAGTTTTGGATTATTTCGGGGGTATGTTTTAGTTTCCGTCGAAAATCCCCCTGTAGGGTGACACGCCCGACAGAAGGCAAGGGAGGAAGCGCCACCCGGACCCGATCGTCGGCGTTTGCTAAGCGGCCCTCGGTTTTTTTCGAAGCAGCCCTGCCCTGTTGGATGCCTGCTCTGGGCGCGTTTGCTGAACGACTTCGCGTGCCGGGGTGGTTACTACCGGGGTGGATGGTTCCCACCTCTGCTCGGGCACCAGAAGCCCGTGTACAGAAGAGGTGAGTGTGGTCAGTCCAGGCTGTCGAAAGTGGGACAGGACGGCCACAATCAAGAACGAACGAAGGACGTACACGTGCATGAGTCCACGTGGGATTCGAGAGTGCGCATTGCGCGGATCTTCGCATCACGCGGGCGGTCTCGCGGATCCAGGGGCCGTGTTCATGTACCTGGTTGGGCGCGTACGTCCTCTGTGGGCTTCCTGTGCAACGCGGGGCGCGCCGCCAGAGGGTAACGAAACACGGCAACAACAGAATTTGCAGCGCGGTCCGCTCGGCATTCGGGTCGGCGTTGGGTCCCCCCGCCAACACCAGGGCTCGAGCGAGCGACACGATGTCTTGGCGATTTCGTGGGCTCCGCTTTGCAGCGGGTGATGAGGATGCGGATGAGGACGAGGATGAGGATGAGAATGATGATGAGGATGAGGATGACGATGAGGATGAGGAGGATGATGATATGATAGGATGAGGATGATGATGATGACGCTGATGATGCTGATGATGATGGTGATGATGATGGTGATCGTGATGATAATGATGATGATGATGATGATGATGATGATGATGATGATGATGATGATGATGATGATGATGATGATGATGATGATGATGATGATGAGGATGAGGATGAGGATGAGGATGAGGATGAGGATGAGGAGGATGAGGATGAGGATGAGGATGAGGATGAGGATGAGGATGATGATGGTGATGATGGTGATGATGATGATGATGGTGATGATGATGATGATGATGATGATGATGATGATGATGATGATGATGCTGATGTACCAACGCTGCCGCAGTTGAGTTTCGATGGTGCGCCGAAGAAGTGTCGGTTCTCCCCGCGCAGTGGTGTTCCTCTTCTTGCTAAGATGAAGTCGGGCGTGTCCCCCTACAGGGGCCAATATTCAACCATATTAAAAAGTAGGCTCGGGACGATTAAACAAAAAAAGAAGAAGTATTTTTGACCATGTTTGGCCATTTTCGTTCCGTTCTGTTCTTCGTCCAGACTCCGCCTGTAGGAGGACGCGCCCGACCGCGTGCGAAACAACCGGCCGGGTGCCCCGCAGCCTCGCGCCGTGGGGCCGCCTCGGGGGGCCACAAATCCGTCCGCCGCGCTCCCCGTGCGCCGACGCCGGGCGCGCTGTGCCCGGATGTTCTCTTTGTTCTGCCCAGCGGCGGCAAAACGACGCGAAGATCGGGACAAAATCGGATCGGGATAGCTCGAAATCTCTGAGAATCGGCGGGTTTGGAGGATGTATTGGGCGCCGCGGCCGCTCTGAGAGCGTTCCGGAACGCTCTGAGAGCGCTCCGGAACGCTCTGGAGCGATTTATCCCGATCCTAGCCCTGTTTTAGGCGGCCCGTCGCCGCATCGTCGCCGCCTTGTGCACGTCGTCAAATCGGGCGTGTCCCTCTGCAGGAGGATGATTCAAAAATAGTTTAAACAAAAAAGTCGGGGCACGATGTGTCGACTATTTTTGATTATTCCGGAGAATCATAGACCTACCCTACCCTGACACCTCGATTAGCGAACTGGCCGTTCTCGGTCCGCGAGAGGGCGTCGCAGCCGTCATTTCTGCGGGTCCAGGCCCGTCGGTTTCGGCCCCAGGCCGTTTTCACGAAAGGGTTGTTTTTTAAAGAGAGGTTTGTCCACCGCCGAATTTTGTTAAATCGGGCGTGTCCCTCTGCAGGAGGAGTATTCCAAAATAGTAAAAAAGAATAGTCGGGGCACGATGTTCTGAGTTTCTGGTATCACTGCGCATTTTCGCTGCTATGTCTATTTTTCGTCCACAAGCAGCCTGTAGGAGGACACGCCCGACCTTAGCATGTCGGCGATGAGCGAGGGGGGGAGAAGTGAGAAGGAGAAGGCCTCCTCGGCAGGCGGCGGGGCTCCTCAGAGGGCCCTGGGCCTTCTGAGGAGCTTCTCCCGCGCCTTCGGGGGAGGCTCCGGGAACTCCTCGGGAGGCCGTGGGGCGTCCGAGCCCTCTGGGAAGGCCTGCTCCCTCTCGATTCCCTCCGTGGCTCGCGCGCGCGGAGCGCAGCGCGCACCCCGTGGACTGCGCCACAGCGATGCCATGACCGGCAGAAGACTCGCCGCTGGGTGCCTCCTGGGGCGCCCTGGAGGCATCGGGAGCTCCCCTCGGGCTGCGGGGCCTCACGGGCGCCTCCCGCGGCCCTCTCGTGGCACTCTTTCTGGGGGCCTCGAGGGCCACGTCTCGGGGCCGCCCTGGGGAGGGCGCGCCCCTGGATGCCCCAGACGGGGGGGGGGTAGAGGGGACGAAGAGTGGCATAAGCATAACAACTCGGAGGTCCGCGCGGATTTCTCGGATCGGCGCTGGGGCCCCCCGGCGGCGCCTCCGGCGCCGCAGGCTGGACGTCACGGTACCCCTCCGCCCATGAGCTCCTGCGTATTGATCATGCGCAAGCGTTTAGCCTACATTGGAAGCGCGACTATGCCAGCCAGGCTAGTATTCAGTCGGGCACGTGCCTCCACAGGAGGAATATTCCATCAAACATCGGCAAAATATAGTCAGGGGACGATTGATTGACTATTCTTGAACACTTGTTGAATATGTTTTCCTTTCGTCCGAATTTCGCCTGTAGGAGGACAGGCCCAACCTCAGGTTGATGCCCACGCGGTAACAGAACAACGACAAGCGCGTGTTGTAAGAGTTCAAAATAGAGGAGACCACGCGACCACACGCGTGCGTCCCCCAAGCGCGCATGTTAAAATCCTTGAAAAGCGTCGGTGTTCCAAGGTTTGCAAGAGCGAACCCAATTGCTGCAAGATCGAGCTCCATTGAGCTCAGTTTTCAAGCTCTGTGCGAACGCACTTGCGAATATCATCACCAAGCCTCTGGCTCCTGGCCGTCTCTGCCGAAGGTTACCTTGCGTGCCACACACGCACGCATGTCGAAGTGATTCAAAGCCATCGCCCACTTGCCAAACTCATATAAACTATAGACGTTCGGCTCCCCGCGTCAGCACTGTCAAACAACACCGTGCGGGCCACTACCCCCATCGCGCGCGCAGGGCCGAACAAACAGTTGGCACATTGCCCGTTCATTCATGTTACATAAGATGAGACATATCTTTTCAGAATGTTCGAGCACACTAAAGACTTGTACAACAACTGTTGTTCAGTGGGCACTCCTTTCAGATTTTTTCGAGGCGTCATCACCACGCGCCCGCCCGAATCATGAGTTTGCACGAGAGGAATCCGCGCGGCACTGCGCCTGCAACGAGCTATGCTGGATAAGTGCGCTCACGGCCTTGAGTGCTTCTAATTAGTCGTGGGTTGGTGAATGGGATGATGATTTGAGCATCGGAAGTGACGGCTCAAGTCTTCCAGCGAATTGCACAGCTTGGAATGCACCACATAATGGCAGTGCATAGTTCGCATCACGTAGGTGGCTCAACATGATTTATACAGCGCATGCTGAATCAAACACAACGCACGCCATACAATGCAGCACATGTACCTCACCACATAGTCTGCATCGCATAGTTTGCGCCACATACATGTTACCCCCTCACATATTGCACATCCAGAGTGGCAGGACTCTCTGTTTGGGGTCCATGCTGGCAATCGCATCATGCTGCCGATGTGGGTGTTCGACGCCCTCAATGTGGTTGCTGTCCAATCTGTTTGTCGATGGTGCGCCGATTGATTGTCGATCTTTTCCCGACTGTCCTGAGAGGTAGCCCCGATTGGTTCGCGATAGGATTTCGCAGTGTTCGTATAGTTCTGAACGCTCCGCGTGTCTTCGCCAGCCAACCGCTTAGAGCCATTCGCGTTGGCATGGCCTTGTCGGCCTTAACTGTCACGAGACGTGATCCCACCGGCTGACTGAGGATATCCTCCCTGTAACGGTTCTTTCTTCGTTCTCCCTTGCCCGCGCCTTCCCTTCCCTGCCGCCCTCGCGTGCCACCCGTGCATCTGCAGTCCGGTGGGGCGGGGGGGCGGACCTGCGGACACTTGGATTTCGTTCCTCTGGTCTGATTTATTCTCGCATTGTTAAGCTTTGGCCTCCAGCTTGGGCTAAGATCGGGAGACTCTCCATGGGGGGGGATCCCATGGGGGGGCAGGAGGGGATCCCCCCCATGGGATCCCCTCCTGCCCCCCCATCGGATCCCCAGGGGATCCTATGGGATCCCCCCCCCTGGGATCCTATCCCCCCATGGGATCCCCACCCATTGAAGAGTCTCCCGATAAGAAGAACCATTCGCAACCGTTGGGCTCCGGGAGTCGCCCCCGGCACGTCCCCCCCCCCATGGCCGACCGCGAGCCCCCCCAGCGGTGATGACCTGCGCGCGGCGCCCGAGATCGGGTGCCGCGCGGAGGCCACCACCGCTGGAGGGTCGGGGTCGGCCTTGCGGGGGGAGCCAGGGGCGGTTCACTCATCCCGGTGGGCGTGGGAGTCGTCTCTTTTGAGAACCCCCAGACCGGGTGGTGAGATACCAGGTGGCGACCTGGAATCCCCCAAAAGGTCACCGCTGGGTTTGGGGACGCGGGGTCACCGCCGGGTTTTGTGACTCCTGGACCCACCAACGTTCGGGACATCCTCGGAAAACCGCACGAGTCCCCAAACCGGGTGGTGACACCAAGTCGCCCGAGACTCACCGCCAGGTGTTGTCACCACCACGTTTGGGGACTACCAACTCTTCTTCGCTCCTGACTCCAGGCAATGATGGGCAGCATCGGGTCGAGAGCCGTCTGGCGTGCGCTCGAGGGCGAGCACGGGCGTTCCTGGGAGCGGGAAGTGGCCTGGGGGGATGCAGGGCGGGGCTCCAGGCGCTCATGGGGCATCCGATGCAGTGAAAACCATGTGCTTTTCCACGTTGGGACTGTCGCGACCAATGCTGGGCGCAGGATTGGGCGCGATGTTGGATGGGTCCAGTGGGCGAGGATACCGAAGCTGGACCCGCGTTTGGCCTGGCCAGTGTCGGTACCGGTGGATATGTGGCGTCTTCATCTTTTTTGTAGTAGTATGAGAGAGGTATAAACATATCAATCCTGGCCGGGGTCACGCATACCACTTCAGAGCGTTGTGGCGGATCATTGGTATCGGAACATAAGCTCGTTTCGTGAGCACACACACATGGTACCCTATTGCCAGAGCAGGATCCTGCAGTGCAGGTATCGATGCTGGGCTATGTTAGAACTGTGCTGTGGAGAGGCATCATGGCTCGTGCACTGGCCTGCGCACAGCACGTTGGAGATCGCCCAGCGCATCGCCGAGGGGAAGCTGACGGGCGCATGGGGCCGCTCGAAGGCCGAGATGCTGCACAGCAAGTGGGGGAATCCCAACACGTCGTGTTTCCCTGCAGAGATGATGCACAACAGATGAACAGGGGAACCTGGTCGCATGGTTCTCGTGTCGAACAGCCTGGTGCGAAGTGGAAGCAACTTCAAGAAAGGAACTGTCGCCATTTCGTCGAGGAAGTGTTCTGGCGAGGGCGATGGGAGGAGGCTGAGTTGGGGGCTCCCTCCCAGCCCCTGCAAGCAGAAGGAGCTCTCACCACTCGGCCGGCCTCGGCGGCCTGGCAGGCACCCGGTGGGGCCTCCTGCGCGAGCACGGCCTGCGGCGGGCCAGCCAGGGCCTGTGCACCATCGACGTCATCTTCGGAAGAGAGCCCGGGTCGTCGCCGTCCCCTGAGCGCGCGCCAACGTGCCTTCTTGCGCCCCCGTGCCCAGCGCGCCGGCGGCCTTGTGTATTCCACGCTGGAGGTCGCCCAGCGTCAAGCAGTGGCGAAGCGTCCCGGCGTGCCTGCAGACCTACCCAACAATGTTCTAAGAACCTCTTTGTGGTTTCCACGAAATGCTCTTAGAACATTTCTGGCTGGGACTGTCCTGCTTCTTCTCACATCGGGCTTATGTTCTAAGAACGTTGCTTGCGTTTTGGGAACATTTTTGGGTTCTAAGAACAGTTCGTGGAAGGCCTATAGGATTGCCGGAACGGTCGGTCCCTGCTCAACACGCGAGAGTTTCGATGCGGTGGGGTGCTCACACTTCACAGGTCACGTAAAGCAGCTATCTTCACGCAGTGCAGAGCACAAGATCGGCGGCGAGCGCGGGGGGGGGAGCGAGAAGGGGCGGGCCTCAGAAGTCTCGGAGGGCCCCAGGCCTTCTGAGAGAAGTTGTCTGAGCCCTTCCCCGAAGACGCGACAAAGACTTCTCAGAGGGCGCGGGGGCTTCTGAGAAGCCCCGCCGCCTTCCGAGGAGGCCTTCTCTAGGAGAACGAAGAATGACATAAATGTAACAATTCGGAAGTCCGCGCGGATTTCTCAGATCCGCGCTGGACCCCCTGCGCGCCAGGGAGGGGCTCCAGCGCCGATCCGTGAAGTCCGCGCGGACCTCCGAGCTCCTTCGAGGAGGACTTCCCACACGTCTTTGAGACATGTCGGTCTCTCGGGGGCGTGCTCGGGGGCCTCTGCAGCCCTCTGGGAGCTCTCTCCGTGGCACTGGGGGCTGCTGCGTCGAGGTCGCCGCGAGCGGTCTTGGGCCTTCTCCTTCCTCGCTTCCCCCCCGTTGCCCGCCGCCGCTGGCAGCGGCAGGCGCTGCGGCCCGGCGGGTGTGCGGTGCCGAGCCTGCGCGGAGCGCGGGCCGCCCACCGGGGCGCGTGCTGGGCGGTCTTCGCGCTGCGCTCCGAGCTTTTGCCGTTGGCCGCTGCACTCCAAGGGCTCGATGAGATGCAGGGGGGGCAAATGCTATGAAGCACCCTGCTTGCCTCCAGAGTGCCCTGGGTTTCTTGGGTTTCGATGGGTTTGCCATGGGCAGCGTGGCGTTCCCACGCCAAAAATCGATGGACGTCCTGGGGTCTCAGGGTTGGGTTTCTTGTGGCGGGTTTCTGGTGGTCGGGCCCCTACTGTGTCGTCTGATTCCTCCTGTTGAGCATTTTCTTATTCATTGTGTTGCCGATCGGCGCGGGCCCTCGCACCCCCCATACCCCCCCATGGAGTAGATCTTGGCTGTTTGTGGCGCCTGTTTCGAGCAGGTGGGGTCTCCCCCACAGGACGCGCTGTTGCAAACCGTGGCATTCAGCAGAGGTCCGGAGACAGACCCCCCCCTTCCGCCCAATGTCGACACGCCGGATAAGAAAACGCTTACCTGTCGGTCCGGCAACTCCTGTCTTGGGGGAGACTTTGCTTCGAAGAAGCAAAAAACGTGATAAACGTGAGCATTCGGAAACCCGCGCGGGATTCTTGCATCTGCGCCAGGGGGCCCAGGCAACGATCCAAGGAGTCCACCCGGAGCTCCGAAAGTTTATGGTTCTGTCGTTTTTTCTTCCTCTATTGATAGAATTGGTGACCATGGTGTGTCCCAGACCGTCCCAGGTGCATTCCGCGCGTGCTGGCTCGAGGACGGTGCGTCCAGGGGCGGACCACGGTGCGAGGGTCGGGGCCCCACACGCACACGGGGACCGAGCTAATTTCAGCCGTGGGCCACAACATCTAATCAATTATGTGTTCGCTCCGGGTTGAATGTTTGAAGTTCTGGTTAGCGCTGTCCCGGTGTAGGGAGGCTTAAGAAGGCCGTCCCAGCCCCATGGACATGACTACTGCTTCGTAGTGTGTAGGCGCAGCCAGTCGTAACCGCGGCGCGCCTCTTGTCCAAGCAAGCTCTGCACGTCCTTGCTGTGTGGCCTCCCTCGCCCTGTTTGTTGCACAGTAGACGGCGACCGCAAGCATCAATAATGTAGCTTTTCCCCGACAGGGACACAGCGCTTTCCCTCACGATGTTCCAATCTACTTTAGCCTTGATCGCCAGAAAGAATTTCGAGCACCAAGGAAGTACCGAAACTCGACGGTTTTCACGTGTCGGGCCCTGGGAGGCGATATTCGTTCGACATCGATACTTTTCCTGGTGCTCGAAATTATGTCTGGGATGTGGCCCTTAGTACGATGGGAACAGCATATGCTTCCCCATAGATGTCGTGCATCTACGGCGAGTTTTGCTTGCCGATGGCGGCAACTCACATATGCCCAACGGTTTCGCAGTGCCAATGGGACGGGGAGGGATGGAGGGCAGGATGTGCAAGATGCGGCGCTGGCGCGGCCTGCTCTTCCCTGTCCTCCTCCCATGCCTCCTCCAGCACATCTTCCCTCCTCTCGGTCCGTGGAATCCCTCAGATTAGTTCCCGAGTGGGTATTTTCCAAAGCCGCATTCTGGGCACAGAAGCGCCCCGATACGCCAAGTCCGCACTCTGAGCACGAAGTCGCAATCTGAGGTTCTGAAGCACCCGATCTGAGCAAGCGAGCGCCGAGTTGGCAACCTGCGCTCAGAGCACTGGCCCTAGGATGAGGAGGAGGAGGAGGAGGAGGAGGAGGAGGAGGAGGAGGAGGATGATGATGATGATGATGATGATGATGATGATGATGATGATGATGATGATGAGGAGGAGGAGGAGGAGGAGGAGGAGGGGGAGGAGGAGGAGCAGGGAGAGGGGGAGGATGGATGAGGGTGAGAAGACGGGCGAACACCCTCTCCCCCTCCCCTCCTCCCCGGCCCCCTGCCCTCCGCCGCCGCGACGGGGCGGCCGTGGGAGGGCGCCGTCTCCCAGCGGGTGCTCCTGCACGTGCTCGAGGCCCGAAGACGGAAGAGCTGCATACCGTCGGGGCGCTGAGGAAGGAGCCTTTCTCGCTGTGGAGGGGCTCGGTGCTCCCCGATGGTTTTGCAGCCTGCCACAGGTTTTCCTGAGGTTTCCTCTGGGGAATAGGAGTAGAACTTATGAGAAAAAGGGGCCTCGTTCCTGATTTAGGGTTCCTTAGGTCAACGCCCCGACTGCAGAAACATAAACGTTTGGCGCTCCGCGCGGAATTTCTTGGATCTGCGCTGGCCTCCCCCCCGGCGGCGCCTCCGGCGCCGCCCTTCAGCGCGCTCCGCGAGCCAGGGGAGGAGGGGGCCCAGCGTGGATCCAAGAAGTCCGCGCGGAGCGCCAAGAGTTTCTGCTTGCGCCGCTTCCTGGCGGCGCGCAGGAGGGGGGGCAGGGGGAGGGAGGAAGGCTTCTCAGAAGCACCCCTGCGTCTTCAGAAGGCGCGGGCCCTGCCTGCAGATGTCAGGCCAGGGCCTTCTGAGAAGCAGCCTCCCTCCAAGAAGCCTCCCCCCCTCCCCCTCTGCCCCCCCCTCTGCGCGCCGCCAATCAGCGAGCGAAGAACGGTATAAAATAAACTTTTTCGCTGCCGGGGGCGCCTGTCCCTGGGCGGCTGGAAAGTTTATACCCCTACGGTGCCACCGTAAGGGTATAAACTTTGCAGCCGCCCTGGGACAGGCGCCCCCGACGGCGAAAAAGTTTATTCTATACCGTTCTTCGCCCGTTGAGCCAAGGTTCCCTCTCCCTCCGGAGGTGTCCCTGCAGCTGCTGCACCCCTTCATGCCCTACGTCACGGAGGCCGTGTGGCAGAGGCTGGGCCCGGGGGGGTCAGGAGGGGAAAAATCACACAGACACAATTGATCGTCCACTCCCAGGAAAATATAGGAAAATATAGGAAGTGTGGGGGGGAAGACAGAAACCCAGAAAATATGGGAAAATATGGGGAATCCTTTTATTTGTGTGTATTTATTTGTGTGTCCTTGGGCCCCTTCAGGGGGGGTGGACCCGCCGCCGCCCCGCGCCTGCCTCTCTGGCGCCTCCTCTGGCCTTGCGGGGAGGGCCTCCTCTCGGAGGGCCTCCTCTCGGAAGGGCCTCCTCTCGGAGGGCCTCCTCTCGGAGGGCCTCCTCTCGGAAGGGCCTCCTCTTGGAAGGGCCTCCTCTCGGAAGGGCCTCCTCTCGGAGGGCCTCCTCTCGGAAGGCCTCCTCTCGGAAGGCCCCTCTCGTTGACACCAACACCGACGCCGGCAGTGTGCCGCGACCGGGGGAAGAGGATCCTGATCCCGGCGATGGCGGTAATCTTTGGGCTTCTCCGGCGGCCGCAAGATGATCACCAGCACCAGAATCTAAGAGCATCCTGATCCCGGTGAACGCGACCCCCTGTTTTGGTGTCAGTGCCCATTTCCAAGCCTCCAACTCTCGACCGCTTGCCGCCCCCGACTTGTCCAGCGTGTTCGCTGTCGGTTGTTGGGGGTGTCTTCGGGCTTGTTCGGTTGCAAATCCTGGGAGCCTTGTGTACCCTCTTAATTCCGTCGCCTTGTGTACCCTCGTAATTCCGTTTCAGCGTCGGCTAGCGTCGATTAGCTTCTTGGAGTCGATGAGACAACGCCAATTTAGCGTCGATGAGCGTCTACTTAACGTCGACGAGCGTCGATTCGGCAGAGTCGACAAGATGGTATGGGAGGCTCCCATGAGTTCCCTCCGAAGGTGTCAAGTCGCATAGGATCAGAGGAGGAAAAGGTATTCATACCTCTACGCTTTCCTCGTTTCCCCCTTTGTGAGGCCTCCTCGGAGGCCCTCGTCGCCACCGCTGGATTCGCCTCGAAATCCTGGTCAGAACGCACCCCGGGAGAGGTCCGGGAAGTAGCGGTATCAGTATTTTTTGGTTTCCACATACGAAGGATGCGCAGGAAGGATGTGCGGTGCCTTGGAGGATCAGGTTGGCGTATTCGATGGCAGGAGGGGCGAGGATGCAGTGGTAGCCTTGGAAAGTTGCTCATCCTTACTCTGCGACTCGACTGTGCGGTGCGTTCTCGGATGCTTTCGGGAGCCGCTGCGGGCATTACACGTATTGGCCCGGGGACTCGCCGAAGACAGATCATCGGCGCCTTTGGATACATGTATTGCTTCCCCTGGGCTATTCGCCCACGCCGTCGTTTTCTGGGTCTTCGGTGGGCATCCTGGGGCCTGCGAGAGGCCATGAGGCTTCTCGCAGCTCTCCGAGGATTCGGAAGAAGGGCTCCCGGAGTAGGGGAACGAGCAACGACACAAACATTCAAAAACTCGGAGGTCCGCGCGGATTTCTCGGATCCGCGCTGGACCCCCCTCCCTGGCGCCAGGGGCGGCGCCGGCGGCGCCCTTGGGGGGGCCCCAGCGCGGATCCGAGGAGTCCGCGCGGACCTCCCCGAGGTTTTATGTTTATGCAATTTTGCGTGCCCTTGTGGAGGCAGCCACCGTCGCAGAGTTCTGTGGACCAACGATTATCCCCTATATGTATATATATATATGTATTCATATACATATTCAAATACATATATATATGTATATATATATATACATACACAACAATCTAAGACACACATATATACATATATATATATATATATCAGCAATGTTTACATATTTGTATACATGCATATATACATATTTATACCAACAATAAAAAGAAGAGTTCTCCTGTGGACCGCTCAAAGACGGGGCCCCGAGGGAGGGGCCCCGCCGGCCCCCTCAGGGCACGGCGCCTGTGCCGAGCCGATAAGAGGTGGGTGCCCAGCGTGGATGTCGTCGGGCGGGTGTGCGCGGTGCGCGCTGTATCGGCGGCGAGCGAGGGGGGACGTGAGAAGGCGAAGGGCGAAGGCCTGCTCAGAGGGCGGCGGGACTTCTCAAGAAGCCCTCGCGCCTTCTGCGACGTCTTGCTTTTGATCTTCGGGGGGGGCTCCGGAAACTTCTCAGCAGGCTCGGGGACCTCTGAGCCTTCGGAGAAGGCCCGCCCCTTCTCACTTCCCCCCCTCGCTCGCCGGCGATGGTGGAGTGGGCAGGGCGGTCGCCGGCGGCACGGAGGAGAGCCTCGCGGGCCATCGCGGCGGCGAGCGGTCGCAGGACGAGCGGCTTCGCGTCCTGAGGGCGAGGTGCCTCGAACAGTAATAGTCCACCCTTGAGTCCCTGCCGATCCTCAGGACCCCATCCCTCAGGTTCCAATCTCTGAGCCGCCGACTTGTCAGCCGGGTCTGGAGCCCTCACAGGTCAAGCAGTGGCGAAGCGTCCCGGCGTGCCTATAGCCCTACCAAACAATGTTCTAAGAACCTTTTGTGGTTTTTTGTGGTTTCCACGAAATGTTCTTAGAACATTTCTGGCTGGGACTGTCTTGCTTTATCACATCGGGTTTTTGTTCTAAGAGCATTGCTTTTGTTCTAAGAGCATGTGTGGATTCTAGGAACATGTCCTGGTAGGGCTATAGGAATGCCGGGAACGGTCGGTCCCTGCTCAAACAGGGTTCCCGACCATCGGCGTCGAAGCCCGCTCGGGCGCCGAGCTCTCAGCGCAGCAGGCTCATCTTCGGCATGGTGGTGGGGGTTCGGGGCCCGTTCGGTGGCCTCGTCGGCTGGATCGTGGGGCCCACTCGGCGGCCGAGGGCGGCCTGCCTGTGCATCGGTTTCAGGCGTGCTGTCTGCGAGGCGTGCGCCGGCCCGAGAAAATCCACGCGGACCTGGCTTTGCGAATTCCCGCGCTTGGCTTGTTGCAGGTTCGTCTGCAGACCAGCGTCGTGAGAGCACAATGATTGCGGACACGCGCGCAGGGCACTCGATTCAAGAATCGATGCCCTTGCCCCCAGACCAACCAGTCGTCATTGTCATCATCGTCATCACCGCCACCACCATCATCAACTGCTGGCTCCGCCGCCTCTGGCTTCTCCAGCCAGAGCTGCTACGAAGTGCATGGCTACGGGCACGGTCGCTTCCAGGATTCGCGTTCGGCCACAGTGAGGTGGTTCGGCTTGCGCCGTGCGGTGATTTCTGCGCAGCGCCGTACAGCGTGGCTCGGGGAGGCACCCGTCTCCGTCTGCGGAGCCGCTGCTGGACGGAACGGAGGCCGCGCGGGTGTGCAGAGGAATGTATACATGCTTCCGTCAGGAGTCATCCTCATTTTCATCGCCCTCGTCACCACTGGGGAAAACATGCCGGGACCTCGAGAATTGTCGAGCGAAGCGGCGAGATCCGTGAGGTGCCCCTCGCCTCGCCCCGAGACGCGTGTATGCGGCCAGGGAGACGCTTGAAAGGCGAGGTTCACATCACGGAAGGGAATGATTTGCTGGGGTCGGTTAGGCTGCGCGCCCACAGGATCAGGAAGGCGTCCCCGACAGACCTCGGCGGCCGAGGTCTGAAAAACCTCTGTTGGCGACGACGAGTGTGCGCGGCTTGCTGTTGAGTTCAAATGCGGCACGGCGCCGCCAGGGAAGGCGGTGCTGGTCCAGTTCTCCCTCCCAGCCAATGTGGAGGAGGAGGAGGAGGAGGAGGAGGAGGAGGAGGAGGAGGAGGAGGAGGAGGAGGCGGAGGCGGAGGGAGGCGGAGGCGGAGGAGGAGGAGGAGGAGGAGGAGGAGGAGGAGGAGGAGGAGGAGGAGGAGGAGGAGGAGGAGGAGGAGGAGGGGAGGAGGAGGAGGGGAGGAGGAGGAGGAGGAGGAGGAGGAGGAGGAGGGGAGGGGGAGGGGGAGGGGGAGGGGGAGGGGGAGGGGGAGGGGAGGGGGAGGGGGAGGGGGAGGAGGAGGAGGAGGAGGAGGAGGAGGATGAGGAGGATCGGGAAGACGTCCCCAGGCTGTTCCAGCGCGGCAGGTAGCGGAAACTGCTTAGGCGCCGGGAGCCGCTCAGCGCAGCCGCGACGCGGGTCGGGGCGCGCTCGGCGCGAGGCCCGGCGGCCTAAAGAGCGGGGTAGGGGTACCCCAGATTTCGTAATAAAGGGAGGGGGTTCTCATTTCGGGGGGGGGTCTCTTCCAGGCTATCTTAGAGGGCCTGGGGGGTCTGGGGACGATGTTTTGGAGGGTTCTCCCACGGGGGAGGTCTGAAATGGCTTGTCTTGGAGGGTCCAGAGCCCCTCCCTTTTATTACGAAATCTGGAGTACCCGCCCGGGGGTCGCCAGAGGTCGATCCCTGGGAGCTCCGGAGGCCAGCGAAGAGTCACAGGTCCAGGAGGGGAAGGAGCACAGGCACGAGCCATCGGCGACCCCGAAGAGAAGCGATGGGAGCCTGCATCGGAAGCAGGGGGAGGGCGAGAGCCCAGCAGAAGTCGGGAGATGGGGGGGGGATCCTGGGATTCGTGCCTGTCCCTCTGTGTGCCCCTGGGCCCCCTCGAGCGAAGAGGCCAACGCATTCTGCGCCGGGGCCGGCGGGGGCTCCGCCTCTGCGCGGGCAGCGCCGGCGAGGCGCTGTGGAGCCGGGCGCTCCGGCGGGCCGGGCCACGGGCCACGGGCACGGGTCCTCGAGCCGCTCTCGGTGCCGCTCTGTGGGTGGTCCCGGGTTGATGAGCTTGTTTTCCACCACCACCACCATAAGTTGGAGGGGGGGAGGAGGAGGAGGGCGAGGAGGAGGAGGGCGAAGAGGAGGAGGAGGAGGAGGAGGAGGAGGAGGAGGAGGACCCCCCCTCCAACTTATGGTGGTGGTGGTGGTGGAAAACACGTCCATCACGGGTCCTGTGCTCGCTCTCCGTGCCCGTCGCCGTCCAGGCCATGCGTCCTGGGCATGGCATCGCTCGGGCGTGTGCATGTTTTTTTTCTCTGCGAGGACCTTCGAGGAGCATCCTCGACCATTTGTCGAAAAAACCACGCACTAAAGCGACAAATAACACAGGAAATGGACGTCCGAGCGATGGCCAGTGGGGGGAGGGGTTCCTGGGATTTTTCGCCACGCTCGGCTTGCGTGCAGTGGAGGCCAGTTCACAAGAACCCTTCCCCAGGAAACCCAACCCTGAGACTCCAGGACGTCCATCGATGTCTGGCGTGGGAACGTCGCGCTCTCCATCGCAAGAACATCGAGGCCCAAGAAACCCAGGTCACCCTGGAGGCAAGCAGGGTGCTTCTTGGCATGGGCCTCCACTGTACACAGGCCCCAGGCTGTGTGCATGCACCTCTGCGCGTGCCCACGCTTGCAGCAGGGAGACGGATCACAGGCGGCCCATGCACCACGGGCATGTGCTGCTGTAGCTGCCCAATCGTGCGGATGCCATGCTCGCCTCGGCTTTTTGGGGGGGGGGGGGGGGCTCCAGGGCGCATGGGAGGGGCCAGCACGGTCACCAAGGGGTAGGGGCCAGCACGGGAGGCGCGGTGCGTGGCTTGCCCCCCCCTCGGGAGGAGGTGGAGGGGGAGGGCAGAGCCTGCCTCGGGAGGCTGCCGCGTGGCAGCTCCAGCCCCGCCTCGCTGATGATCACCCCGTGGCTGGACCTGTCCGGCGGTGCGCTCCCCTGCCCCTGGTGTGGCCTTTCTCCATCGCGAGACTGCAGTCTTCGAATAGGGGATCGACTACAGAATTGAATTACCCCGAAATTGATTTCTGCACCGAAGCTACGAAACTGACATAGCATGCTCGGTTGATCTACAGAGCATCCTGCGTAATTCTCTCAGGTTCCACGGAAAATCACTTGCCAGTTTGACGTGAGAAGATTGAAAGAAGGAAAAAATGCTTAAACATCAAGTGTTGGCGTTCCGCGCGGATTTCTTGTATCCTCCCCCGGCGGCGCCTCCGGCGCCGCCCCTGGCGCGCTCCGCGCGCCAGGGAGGGGAGCCCAGCGCAGATCCACGAAATCCGCGCGAACAGCCAACAGTTTCTGCTTATGATTTTTCTTGTGTCTCTAATTACGAGTGAAGACATGATGATACAGTATCAGGTCCGAGCGGCTACGGTACATTAGGACAAAGCAGCACCGCCTACGGTTGCGCTCGAGGGAAGGGGGGTGGGGGGCACTCGTTGCGTCGCCACTGCCGGATGTGCCCCAGACACCTTGTCAGGTTGACCCTCAGCTGGGGTCCAGAGTCGGCGTCGCCCCAACATACTAATACTATGTGTGTGCGTCGCCCCCCCAGGGGCGACGCGCGCACCGAGAAATCTTGCTGTATATGCGTCGTGGCGGGTGCTTTCTGGCCACACTGCTCGGGAAACGATTCACTACAAGATGGGTATACTATATGTTCGTGTCGGACCCGCGCCTCCAAGGAGGACACGTAGTACTAGTATATCTCTGTGCGCCCCACAGAGTTTTTTTTTCAGCCACGCGCAGATGGGGGCGGGTGGAGGGGGGAGGGCTTAGAAGTACCCCTACTTCTTGGAAGGCGCGGGCCTCATCTGTAGATGCAGGGACTGCGCCTTCTAACAAGCAGGCTCCCAGGAAGCCTTCTCCCCTTACGCGCCGACAAGTTTTGAGCACGACCTGGCCAATTTTGCATCCTGCGAGCGTGCGTGTGTGTGTGTGTGTGTGTGTGTGTGTGTGTGTGTGTGTGTGAGCGCGAAGGGGACGGGAAGGGACGCCTCGCCTTGCCCTCCGCTTGTCCCTCCCGCCCCGGGGTCTACCTCCGTGTCCCTTTCCCCCTTCCCCTCCCCGCCCTGCCCCCCTCCCTCTAGCATCACGTCGTCGCGCTCTATCCCATCTCGCATCCCTCCCCCTCTCCCTCCCCCTCGCTCGCCAACCTTCCCTCCTTTTTGCCTCTTTGGGCCTCCTGGAAGGCCCGCGTCGCCACCGCTGGATTCGCCTCGAGATTCTGGTCAGAACGCACCCCAGGAGAGGCCCATAGAGAAGCGACTCGGTACCTTTTGGCTCCCCCACCTCTTGCCCTCTTCTCCCGCTGACCCTGGTTTTCCGTCGAAAGTGGCTTGACGAATAATCATGTTCGAGCATCGGCCGTCGATCGTGGTCCACCGCGACGGGTGTGAGCAAGTCGGAGGTTGAGGGGTGAGATCGCAGTGGAGCGGAGACATCCAACCGGGAAATCGTTTCGTTTCGTTCGTGTCGTGCGTGCGTGCGAGGCGAAGCTGCGTGGGCGCGCGAGAGGAATGAACCCGCCGTTGCTAGGGCGAAGTCAAGACAAATGTTTCTCCTCCGTCTGGCGGTGGCTCGCGGTGTCCCGCCGTTGATAGGGCGAAGTCAAGACAAATGTTTCTCCTCCGTCCGGCGGTGGCTCGCGGTGTCCCGCGGTGTCCCGCCATTGTTAGGGCGAAGTCAAGACAAATGTTTCTCCTCCGTCCGGCGGTGGCTCGCGGTGTCCCGCGGTGTCCCGCCGTTGCTAGGGCGAAGGCAAGACAAATGTTTCTCCTCCGTCCGGCGGTGGCTCGCGGTGGCTCGCGGTGTCCTGCCGCTGCTAGGGAGAAGTCAAGACGAATGTTTCTCCTCCGTCCGGCGGTGGCTCGCGGTGTCCCGCCGTTGCTAGGGCGAAGTCAAGACAAATGTTTCTCCTCCGTCCAGTGGTGGCTCGCGGTGTCCCGCGGTGCCCCGCGGTGTCCCGTGGTGTCCCGTGGTGTCCGCCGTTACTAGGGCGAAGTCAAGACAAATGATTCTCCCCCGTCCGGCGATGGCTCGCGGTGTCCAGTACTGTCCCGTGGTGTCCGTCGTTGTTAGGGAGAGGCCCCGTCGTGCGGTGGCTCACGGTGTCCCGTGGTGTCCCGTGGTGTCCTTTTGAGTGAGATCGATAGTGAAATCGATAGTGAGATCGATACAGGGATCGATGAGATCGATAGTGAGGTCGACATTGAGATCGATACTGCGATCGGTGTGGTGCCCCGAGGTGTCCCGTGGTGTCGCAAAAAGTGAGATTGATTGTGAGATCGATAGTGAGATCGACAGGTGTCCCGTGGTGATTTGTGGTGCCCCGTGGTGTCCCGTTGAGTGAGATCGATAGTGAGATCGATACTGAGATCGATGTGGTGCCCCCAGGTGTCCCGTGGTGCCCCGTTGAGTGAGATCGATAGTTAGATCGATAGTGAGATCGACAGGTGTCCCGTGGTGTTGTGTGGTGTCCTGTTGAGTGAGATCGATAGTGAGATCGATAGTGAAACCGATGGTGAGATCGAGTGGTGTCCCGCTGCGTCCCGTGGTGTCCCGTGGTGGCCCGTAGTGTCCCGTGGTGTCTCTTCGAGTGAGATCGATGGTGAGATCGATAGTGAGATCGGCAACCGTCCCGTTGTGTCCCGTGGTGTCCCGTTGAGTGACATCGATAGTGAGATCGATTGAGTCAGATGTTGGTCCCCCCCCTCTCCCCCCCCCCCACAACCTCCTTATCACCTGAAGGGTGCTCGTATGGGTATGGTAGGTGTGAGGTCGCATGGGCCAGCAGCATCCACTGCTGTAGGACCATGGCTGACAGCGGCATCGCAATAGTACACCGTCTTGGCATGCGCATGCGACAGTGGGAGGCACCCCCTTCCTCGTCTTCCTCCTACTCCTAGTAGTGAGCAGGGCTGGACCTAAACGCTGTTTTGCTGGACTTTGGCTGCGTTATGCTGTTCGTTGTTGGCAGGGAGGTGCAGGACAACAGGCAGAACGAAACGAACAACAGAACGAACACAAAACGAACCATACCGTTGAGGTCCAGCCCTGCCCCCTTCCTCGTCCTCCTCCTGCTCCTCCTGGTAGTGAGGAGGAAGGTTCCAGGAGGCAGGGCAGACCACCCGCCAGGGCAGGAAGGGAAGTGCGGCACCCGACCCACGGACTGTGGAGCGCTCTAAGGGGGTTTGATGCGCAGGCTCGACCGCGAGGAGCATTCTGATGCTCCGCCCTGCTCGATGCCTGATCGCACGAGAGAACGTCCAGCACGGGGAAGGTGCCGAAGCTGGAGGGCTCTCGCGTGTCGGGCCCCGGGAGGCGATACTCGCTCGACACCGTTCCGACACTTTTCTGGGTGCCCGAGATCATTTCTGGGATGTGGCCCTCTACGATGGGAACAACATAAGATGAGCAGAGGAGTCGGAGGCATCGTAGCGTATTCGGCCACATGGTGGTCACCGCCAATGCTCAAACGGTACCCTCCAGTGTTGCTCTCTTCATCTTTCTTCGGCAGACTCTCTGGCACGTGACTCCTCGGCGTCACCAGCACCAGACACGGCTTCGAACGCTGGGGACGGGTGGTCGGGGGCTCGTCACTCCATGTCTGGAGGGGGTGAGCGGAGGTCTGGCACATTTTGACAGGAGGTCTTCACACGGTGGTCCGAGTTTTGCCCCGGCCAAGCCGATGCATAGCAGCAGGCCCGCTCTGGCCCTCCCGTTCCACTCATCTCTTCTCTTCCCTTTACGCGTCGGAACACAATAGTTCGAGCGCAGTGCGTGAGCATTCGTTGTGCACAGTGCATCGTTCGGGAGGTCACCCGTGGACTTGCCGCTCAAGCGCCAACATAATGTGGACCCATGCGGGTAGCTCTTTATCTTGTGCTGCCACTGCTACCGCGGGCGGCCCCCACAGCAGCAGCGGAGGCGCCCTTTCCGACCAGAATGCTGAGTATTGCTTTGACCGGATGTGCAGCATCGTCTCCAAGGTCCGCAACGCGCGAGCCGAGCAGGAGGTGGCTCCCAAGGAGAAGGTCGCCCTGACCATCTGGTGGGCGGGGACGGTTGCCGCAGTGCCCTCCGCCACTTCACGCGCAAGTCTGGACAGTCTTACGCCGCCGTCCAGAGTCTCGCGCACTTGAATGCTCAGGAGCGCGGCGCGCAGCGTCCACGCGGTACCGACCGCCCAAGAGCAGTTGCAAGAGAGAGAGAGAGAGCGAGAAAAAGAGAGGGAGAGAGAAGGGGAGACGAGACCAGATGGGTCGCCCGCGCGGCCGGCCAAGCAGAAACAGCACGGCAGTCGGTCATTCCCGCACGCGCGTGGGTGAGCGTCCTGCCCCGCTCAGAGACGGGCCCTCTTGTAAGAAGTCTCTGGCTGTGTTCAACAGTCAGGAGGAGGAGGAGCAGGAGGACAGCGATGCGGAGGAGGAGGAAGAGGAGGAGGAAGGGAGGCAGGGAGGGAGGGATTGGGCCACTGAGCTCTGATTGACTGAGCTTGTAATGGAGCCCCGTGAACCTATATGAGCGACGCGAGCGTGCATGAAACACCTGCGTGGACTGATCCTCACGTATATCAGCCTGCAGGGAGCCGACGATCGGGACGAAGGGGAGGTGCGAGGACCTGGAGCTTGCGCGGGCGCTGCAGGAAGAAAAGGCCAGGCCGTGATGTCGCGAGCATCAGCACGCCTTCTCTCGCGCCCTCTGCCTCCCGTTGCTGCCTGGCCTGGCCCTCTGTCGCCGCCCAACGCCCCCTTGTCCCGCATCGCACCTTCTCGGCGCTGGCTCGCCCTCCCTGTCCTCGCCCTCTTCCTGTCGCCCTCGAGGCCCTTAGACGTGGTTGTTCGTTGTTTTGGCTTTCGGAGGCCTCTGGAGGCCTTTCCGGAGGCATCCGGAGGCCTCCAAGGACTGGAGACTTTGGGGGACCACGCCATCCCGTTCTTCCTCGAGCTGATTGTCCTGCGCAAGTTCCTGTGACGCTACCTGCTTCACTCCTTTTCCTTATCGTTCCTCCTCCCTTGTTGTTTTTCTCCCTCTTCCCCTTCGCCTTCCTCGCCTTCCTGGAGCGATTTGGCGCACGACGTTTACTCCAAGGCTTGTGGCCACCTATGACAGACTACCGACTTAGTGGATTGTGGGTCAGTATGGGTTGCCACGAGGTCAGATGTTCTATGTTTGCTGATCTGTCGTGATTCGCAGTGTTGTGTTTTTGTTGGGCTTCTCCTGCGGGTTGTATGGGGGTGTTCCTTTGCATGTGAGGGTGACATTGTTCAGCATCGCTGCTTGTGCGCCACATCGTTCAGCATCGTTGCTGGTGCGACTAGACTACGTGTGGTTCACAGGATCTTGCTTTGCCGCGTGACTATGCATGCCCTGGCCCCTGTTCGTGCCTTGCATGGTAATGTTGCTACAACTGGCCTGCGCAAGGCTGTGATTGCGCATTTGACCAAGGCCGACGTCGACCATACAGAGGAGCCGATCGGGACAGTTGCGATGGCGCACATGTGTGACTCTAGCAGGTCGTCATAATGATACATCTGCGCTCTCTAATGACAGGGAAGTTCGGTTGAGCACAGCCTCGATGGGTTAGCGGTCACATTCATTGGGGCAGTGGGTACAGGTAGTCTTTGGCCTCGGTGTGCCTGCGTACGGAAGCACGCATTCAGCTGTTCTGCCTCGCACATCCGCCACAGCACTGGAGGAGGGGAGGGATGCTCTGGGCGGAGGGCTGGGCGGACGGCGCGGGGGTGGGGTCGGCCTCGGTGCACCTGCGTACGATAGCACGCATCCAGCCGTTCTGCCTCGCACATCCGCCACCGCACCGGGGGAGGGGAGGGATGCTCTGGGCGGAGGGCTGGGCGGACGGCGCGGGGGTGGGGTCGGGGGTGATGCAACTCACGGCCGCTGACGTCCCCTGTGGGGGACGGCCCCTTCCAACACCGAGGAGCCCACAGCACCGCGCGGCGCAGCCTGGAGCGCGCGGCGCTTCGGCAGGCGCTCCGGCGGGCTGCTGCTTGGGTTCGAGCTCTAAGCTGTGCAGCGTGCTGCTCGAGCCCTGCTGAAACCGGTCGGGCTGATGCGTGCTCCGAGCTCGGAGCACGACGCACGTGTGCGCTCGATGAGTCCCCGCGCCCCAGAAGCGTCCCTATTCGCCGACCTGGAGACGTGCCCCCCCCGAGGAGCTCGTGGCGGCGTCGGATCTGGGCATGGCACGCACTTCGGGGGCGGGACGATGCACACGTCCAAGCCCGCCCGAGATCCTCCTCATGGGGGCACGTTTCCTCCTCCTCCTCCTCCTCCCCTCCTCCTCCTCCTCCTCCTCCTCCTCCTCCTCCTCCTCCTCCTCCTCTCCTCCTTCCTCCTCCTCCTCCTCCTCCTCTCTCCCCCCCCCTCCCCTCCCCCTCACCCTTCCCTTTTCCCTCCCCCCCCCCTGCCCCTCCCCCCCTCCCCTCCCCGTCCCCCGTCCCCCTCCCCCTCCCCCTCCTCCTCCTTCTCCTCCTTCCTCCTCCTCCTCCTCCTCCTCCTCCTCCTCCTCCTCCTCCTCCTCCTCCTCCTCCTCCTCCCCGTGCCGACGGTGAACATGGCCCCAGTGTCGAGTATTCAGGGAGGACGCACGGGGCGGCCTGTAAGGAGACACGCACACACACAAGAGCACACAGTCTCCGATGAGCACCTCCCTTGAGCTCGCTGGGGTTTCGCCACCGGGGCGACACAGGCCAAGGGGGGCCATTTGGGCTGGCCCCAAGTCCCAAACAGCCCCCCAATGGGGCTCCACCACCCCATGCACACACAATATGGCGACAACTTGCTTACATGGCGCCACAACCGTTGGCCCGTAGTACCTCTTCGGGAGGTCGCTTGGACGGTCGGTTCTGTATTGGGTACGTCACCACGGCGCCACAAACCAGGGGATTTGTTCGGGCTGCTCCATTGGCCCGAAGACCCCCCAGGCACCAGGGCTATCACTACGGTCGTTTTCCTTTGTGGGAACCCAACAAGGCGCCAACAAACCAGGGGGGGTGTTCGGGCTGTTCCTTTGGCCCGAAGGACCCCCTCAAACCGGTGTCCACCACCGTGCGCATTGTAGCCTGCGTAGGCGCCCTTGTCGTTTGTCGGTTGCGCCATCAAGGTGCCACACACCACTCGGCAACTGTGGCTCACGACGGCCCCGCTGTCGGATGATTAAGGTCACGGTGGTGTTCCCTGAGCCTTCCCCCCCCCTTAATGCAGCCACGCCACGGGCGGGCGTTCTGTGTTCTGGCTGCGCCCACAAGGCGCCACAGACGGGGGGGGGGTTCGGGCTGTTCCCTTAGCCCCAAGGACCCCCCAAAACGGCGTACGGGTGGCACATGCCTAGCAGTAGCAGTGATTCATCGGCTTACGCCACGCTGCCGACCCCTTGGGGCGGCAGCAATCGTCCCCCGCGTGGCCTGTCCGGATAGCCTGTGAGGCCCCTCTGGACACGTTTTGGAGCCCTCTTCGGACCGTCCTGCCGCTCCCCCGGGCCGTTGCTATGGTTTCTGGGGCCTTCGTGGGGCGCCCGGAGGCCGTCGTGAAGCCTCTTGGGGGGCCTCTTGGGGTGCCAGAGGTTAATCTTGGAGGTTTACTGGGCCGTTGTGGGTCTCGTGGAAGCCCACGAAGCAAACATGCTGAAAATGTACGTTTCCCCTTCGGAATGGGACGGTTTTTTGCTTCTGGAGGCCTGCTTGGAGCGCCTCGTGGTCGCGTATGCAAACGTCTTGGACGCCCATTGGGCTGTCTGGAGGCAATCTTGGGCGGTTTGGACCGAATCGTCCCCCGCGTGGGCCGTCTGGACAGCCTTTTGGAACCCTCTTGGCCCGTTTTGGAGCCCTCTTGGAACCGTCCTGCGGCTGTCCTGGTCCGTTGCTATGGTTTCTGGAGCCTTCGTGGATCGCCCGGACGCCGTCTGAGAGCCTTTTTGGGAGCCTCTTCGGGTGACAGGGGTCGATCTTGGAGGTTTATTGGGCCGTTGTGGGCCTCTTGAAAGCCCAAGAAGCGAATGTGGTTAAAATCTGCGTTTACCCTCGGGAGTTGGACGGTTTTTGCTTGTGGAGGCCTTCTTGGAGCGCCTCGTAGTCGTGTGTTCAAACGTCTTGGACACCCATGGGGCCGTCTGGCGGTGACCTTGGGTGGTTTGGACCGAATCGTCCCCCGCGTGGGCCGTCCGGACAGCCTTTGGGAGCTCTCTTGGCCCGTTTTGGAGCCCTCTTGGGACCGTCCTGCGGCTGTCCTGGTCCGTTGCTATGGTTTCTGGAGCCTTCGTGGATCGCCCGGACGCCGTCTTGGAGCCTTTTTGGGAGCCTCTTCGGGTGACAAGGGTCGATCTTGGAGGCGTCTTGGGCAGTTTTGCGCCGCGTGGAAGCCGAATGGGCGAACGTGGTGAAAATGCACGTTTTCCTTAGGGAATGGGGCGACTTTTGCTTCTGGAGGGCCTCTTTGGGGCGCCTCGTAACAAGGGGCACGCGTGCCAAGGATCATACAATGACGATGTGGGTCCATGGGCCAAGGGGAGTGCAGGGGGGGAACCCAGGGGGGGAGCCCACGGTCGGTCGGAATAAGGGGAAGGGGCGCCTGGGGGATCGGAGGAAGGGCCCACGGTCGGTCGGAATAAGGGGAGAGGTGGGCGCAGGGGGGGGGGGAGGGGGGGGCCCGGTTGTCGAATAAGGGGAGGGGGCGCAGGGGGGGAGCGGGGGGAGGGCCCA